ATAAAATACATAAAAGTCGCCAGATTGGCCAATCATGAAAATGTGAAGGAACATTCTCATATTTACAAACTTATCGTTTCCTTTTTTCCTTTTTTGCGAGGGCGACAGCCTCAAAATATTTTATCAGTTATATTTTTACCGGCCACTTGGACAAATCGACTGGCCTGATTCCAGCTTGGGACGGTGCTATGCCTCACAAATTCTGTCTTGGCCGTATATCGTTAGGTTTTACGAAACAATCCATCTTGTGATTTTCTGTTTTATATTCTTAGCACGCTGCCTGAAACACTGCAATAATACCATAGTATGAAGAAGGGACGACTTACAGACAACGATATCTCGGATTTTCGTGTCGAGCCTTCCTAACAGTAGCGGTTTTTGAAACTCTGGGAAGGAACATTATGCATAACGTTTTTACTCTGCAATGCACATGGCACATTTTTTATGTTGAAATATGAGCCGATTGATCGTAAAAAGTTACTGATCAGGCTTTCGCAGAAAATCTGAATGTTTAAGCTTTGAGACAAACTGAGGCAATGCGGTTGACAGTCGAGAGTTGTGAGTCTACGAGACGTGCATAGGTTGTGCATGTTTGATTAATATAACAGCGAAATGTTCGTTTAACTTCATACACCTGTTTCTACATTGTGCGACCCGAGTGTCATGAAACATGTTCATTTTTGGCCAGTGCCGGAAGTCATCTGTACATCGTTTACGAACAGGGTTGGTCTGTCTGTAGAGCGCTGGACTGATAATCAGAAGATCGTGAGTTCTAACCCAGGTCACCTCACTCGCTTGTCATCTTTCCAATGTTGACTGCCAGTACATCTTCATTGGACCAAACTTGCTCTATAGGTAGGGTGTCAGACTCAGAACCGAAAGGCCCCGGGTTTGAGCAGCCGTCGAGTCACTCGCCTTTCTTCCTCTCGAGTTTGATAAATGAGTACAATCTGAAGGAAGGAAGCACGAGGTTAAACACTTTGCTCTTTAAGTAACCGCTGTCGTCAGTCTTTAAAATAAGGTACTTCAGACTGGTGGCGTGGAAGTTGAGGTCGGTGCCTCATCATTAACTTACTTATCGGTAAGGAAACAGTGATTTTATGCTATGGGCGTTACCTAGGCTTAGATAAGCTTAGAAGAGAAAATGAAAAGTAGCAGCGTGCTCCTTATTGATGATGCAGTAATGGATAATGTCCACATAGTCTATGGGCTCTGTAAAGGAGGAGTGTTACCTCTGGCGCCTGAGCATATTTCTTTAAAAGAGACGAATTTCCAACGGTTGCCAATTTTCCTTACATTTTCTGTCGTTTGAAGTGTACGGCTGGTTGACGAAATCGCATCTTTTCTGCAAAATTAACTGCGGATGATACCTACCTATCGTCAGTTGATGTTCGCCGTTGCCGTCAGTACTTGGAAGGTTCTTCTCCTTTAAAAAGTATGGTGAGATGTGCCATCCTCAATCTGCTGACCGTTTGAGAATGAGTTATATCGTTGCCAAAGCGGTTCTTCAGAGGCTGCTTTGCTGTTGTTCCGTTTGATGCATTATCCGTCACTTTATTGACTGTTACTGCTTTAAAGAAACGAATGAGAAAAAGAAATGAACGAAGAAACGAAACGACCTTTGAGTTTTAAATTGGTCGTCTGACGAAGGCTGACGGGGGCAAGTGGCATCTAATCGTCATGATTATATTCGTTCTGTTTATTGCGCAGCAGCCTATGCCGTGAGAACGGTATCATCTTCGGTTCTTGTCTCCACTTATCAGTTGTTCAGATATTTTTCTTTTTTTGCTTTATTACCGTAGGAGTTGTTATGTTCTCTAGCGAATAATCAGTGCATGAACGACATACTGAGGACATGATACCGTTTAGGCATCCTCTGCGTGTTTTCGTCGCGTGAAACGCTCGTCGCCGTCCAGAACATGCTGTTCCATTCCGGACTAGACATCGTGAATGGCACTAACGATAGTGAAGATGACCTGTTGCATAGCCGGGGCTCGGGTACAAGTCCGTTATTCTTTAGCGGTATGCCCATTGTGTTGCTGCTCGTTTGCGATCCGACGCAGCTCGACGATCTGCCATACTTGCAGCAGCAGGGTGCAATGCTTGCTACGCATCTGAACATCCTGTTCATCGGTCTCGAATCGTCCGGTAACGCCAGTTGCTTCACGCAGGATCGAAGGGCCCGTTTTGGTGGCCTGCTGATCGAGGAACAGATCTGCCAAACTATATCCGCGCTCATTTCACTTAGTGTCGAGTACCGTTCCTCGTCGTCGTCGCCGGCCTTGTTGCAGCCGTCCGGTTCTCGACCGCTCTCAGACGCGCTGTCCCCTCTCCGTCGAGAGCCGGATTGTGCTGTACTGGTGTGCCTAATGTGCGGTGACGACTATAGTGTCGAGCTGGTACTCTCTCCGTTGCTCAACATGCAGACCGAATCCATGTCCGCGAGCTTGGTAACCACGTCCGTCGGCAATGATCTGCTATCTTCGGTTGCCGTCGCCTCACAAGACCTATCATCGTCCATTGATCACGGCGATCATAGACATGTCATTCGACGGACTTTTCGCATCGACGTGTTCCTGCCGACCGCCGGCCGTAAGCTCCTCTGCGATCTGACGGTCGTCGCCTATCACACAGCTTTTCATCTGTGCTCTGAAGACGTGCTGTTCGATGCTTGTATCATGTTTTACTCTTCCAAGCGGCGCGCCTCTTTTGCTCATCTAAAGTATGTTCGACCGCATCTGGTCTTTGTTGTAGATTAATCTTTGTTTTTCAGCACTTTCGCTCATCTGTTCAGTCAACCGGTGCCGATGTTGATGGTGGCTGTCGGCGAGGTGGTCGACTTCTTTTCAGACCCAGAAACGAAAACCCTGGTGACTGAGGGAAACCGACTCGCCGACCGGATACGAGCGCGGTTCACCAATGTGTCCCGTTCTATGGAACAGCCATGTAAATGATTTAGATACTGATAATGTGCTTTGAAACCTCTACCTAATGAATCGCATTACAACGAAGAGAATAGTTGCACGAGTAGCTAGCAAAATGTTCTCCATCTGAATACACATTCCGTCCTTCAAATAATGATTTAGTATTTTATAAAGAAACTTCTTTATTACAAAGACTTTAATGTCGTCTTTTCGTCATATTTTTCAGAGAATAAGTCAAAGTTAAATTCTTTGTTTATAGCAACCTCTTTTCAAAACCTTTTTTCCATAATTCCATAGACGGGGGGGGGGGTTGTTTGAACCGTTTTACGTGGTATAAGGTACATCAGCTTTTGATACATGAACAGAAGATGGGTCTAGCGAATAGAATGACGCAAGATGTGTCTAGCCTTGCGGCTGCTCAAATATCAGGCAGCCATGCGTTGTTGAGATTCCATCAGGCAACTAAGAGCAAGCAACTTCAATACGCCGTGTAATCTATTCTTGGAGAAGTTCTACCTCATTTGACGTTATCTGGCATTCAAACCCATACTTTTGAATTGAATTTTATTGCAGTCTTCATTGACTGAAGAACTTGATTAATTAATCCAACTCGTCAGAACTACTCCTTTAGTTGAAATAATGTTTACCACTTCTACTCTTTATAGTGTGGTTATTTAATTTTCGAACAAGGTTTCTCTCGGTATGCGGGCCATGACTGAAAAAATCCTACACGAAACCGGAGCCTCCTCGTATTAGCGGTTTACTTTCAAACTGCCAGGTTTTTGATACTGTCATACTGGTGGTCTTGAAAGCTAGCAGTTTTGCTAGTAAACCCGTAATTACGAGGTTAGTTTTGTGTAAGATCATTAAATACCTTCCATTTTCACCGTAACTGGAAGAAATTTGTCAGTCATTCAGTTTCGATAGCCGTTTATTCTATCGGATGGCGGAGACAGTGCATCCTACGTTCCCGATCTTGTGGCAGCGTTTGAGCTCAAGAACAAGATCACCCTCAGCCTGAAGCAGGGTCTTTCGATAAACTTGCCCCAGCTTATTTTCGGCCGTTGCCGAAGTTTCTGAGTGGTCGGTTAGTCCAGTAGTAACCGTTTCCCCTTCCTTTCAGAGTGCGTTCAACAAGGCGTGTCCAAACCATCGTAGTTGTGACTTCTCGGAGGCAGCGGCTGTACACAACGGCTTTCTCTTATCTCTGAGCTGTCCACTCTGTCGAAACGCATGAACGGAGTGATACCTGTCAAATGCCCGTTTCAGACGCTTGTACCCCGGCTCACAGTTTTTCAGTCACAGCCCACTTCAATCAAAAGAAACTTGTTCGAAAATTAAACAAGTGCAGTATAAGAGAGGAAATTGGAAGGAACTGTTCTAAATGACCTGTGTAAGACTGTCTCATCAGATGTAGTACGAGATGCCTGGATTTTTACGAGTAAAAGGCTTAAGTTGAATATCCTAATGTTTTGAAAAAGGATGATCAAGTGAAATATGAAAAGGAGCTGGATTAAACTACTTTTCTGTTATTGTCTCTGAATTGGCGCCGGTGTGTATCATTGCTGCACGAGAATGCCTAGTTTTGCCTTTTGTACAGCTACCTTTGAGTATGAAATTCTTTGTAGACCAGTTGGTGTGTTTTTGCTTTCTTTCGGGAGGTTTAACAGCCGACCGCTGTAGTGTCACATGTCCAGCAGTTAAGTAGGAGAGCTTTACGTTCGTTTCATTTTCGTCTAAATTTATATCCTATAGTCTTAATCGACAACCATTATTCAGCAGTCTGACAGATTGTCCTGGCCACAGTATTTCACCCTTTTCTGTTTGGTTTTTCTGCCTGAATGGTTCGTGTAGGTTGGAATTGAAATCTTCCTATATTCCTGGCGGAGCGTTCTTTTTGCAGTTCCAGGCGATGGCTTCCATCTATCGAACCTGGGATTGTACCCAGTCCGTCGTATTTACTTTCGATGCTGACGTCGTTTCAGTTTCGTATATGCTATTGCATCGGGAATGTTTTTGTCGTGCAAAATCTGTAACTCCTTTTTTCAATGGTTCTCTGATTCACAGACAGCTGCGGTTCCGCAACTTTCGTCAGTTTCGTGTTTTACTGCCATACTACAGCATTATGGGCAGTACTGCGGCTCAGCGCCATTTCTAGCACCTCCGTCATGTGTTATTTAAAGAAGAGTAATCAAAGTGCAACATATCCATTTGATTTATGGCTTTTATTGCAGCTTTGGTTTATTGAACAGTTTTCGTTACAGCCGGTATTTACACTTCGTTCTTGGAGGACGTTTGGAAGGCGAAGGATCGCAGCTACAAGAACTCCATATATTTCACTGATGCTCGATCGGAAGGTGACCGTTCCCCGGTTAGTGGCGGCGACCGCGAAGAATACCTGATGCCAGCGAGCAGCGAACACTTCATTCCGTCATCGTATCCAGCATCCGACCAAGACAAGAATGACGAAGAATGTCATTACATGACACTGTCGTCTTTCTGGAGTGGCGCTTCGATGCCTGTCTTATCCGGTTCCGTAAATTGTCCGTCATGGGAAAGCCACGTTGTACACCACCAGCGTTTTTTACCTGGCCAGTCGCAACGAAGCTATCAGAGCAGCCGCATGTTCCTACCCGGTGAGTTGCTGGCGCAGTTTATTCGCGTCTTATAAAATTGTGTTGCTCAAAGATGTCATTTTTAGCCAGGTGCGCGCCTTCGAGTTTTTGTTCTTTCTGTACTTGGTATGTCCTAGAGAGTTCCATGTTGAGAAATGGAACTAGGTTATGAGGGCAGTATTTGCACTGTACATTGCAATTTTAATCACCATGTATGAGGTTAATTTCAGATGCTCCCACATGGCACGCCAGATTATCTCAACACCATATTGCGTTTATTTCGCATTTGTGAACTAAACAGTTTGAAAATTAATTTCGTACATCTTTTGCACACGCTGCTACGCTTTTTGGAGCGTGAAGACAATGAATAAGGTAACGTCGATGATAGGGAAACGATTAAGGAAGGGAAAGTTAATGAAGATGGCGATGAACGTGAAGCTGATATTACTAATGATCTTGGACTTGCAAAGAATAAATGGTAAATGCAGAAATGGGTGGTGATGTTTGTGATCGAAGAAACTGATGATTTTGTATAACTTGAGGGAAATCAGGGCTGAAGGAGAAAGGAGATACCATTAAAATAAAGATGGTGAAGGAATAAATGGTGGAAGTAAACTAAGGACGAATGATAAAGGGAGAACGTGATAATGATGGGGCTAATGTCATGACATTGATTATTCATAGGGATAAGGGAGTGTGAAAAGGATGATTATGATTATCAGTCAATGATGCGGATAGGTAATAAGTTTTCTGATCCATGGTTAGGAGCACCAATGAGAGAAAACAGATTCATTGCAGTTTTATTTGACGCAAATCTGTTTTGACTGAATGGGTTTGATTCGTTATAAAGATATACAATTTGTAAAAAGTGATGTTGATAACGTCAGATTGGGATGACGTTTTTGTCGGCTGTCCTTCGTGTGTCGCTTGCCATAGAATCAGAACATGTATTCGTTTCTGTTCTTCTCCCACGCAGTATTGATATTAGTTTATGAAACTGCCTTTCAAGTATCCAAGCTATTACCTTGTGGGCCGTTACTGTCGTCACGAATAGTTGTGATAATAACTAGAAACTTAACAGAGAGCAGAACATGGTCAGATAAATGAACATGATGATGATGATGATGATGATGACGATGATGGTGATGGTGATGATGATAATGATGATGATGATGATGATGAGCAGAATCAACATAATCAAATCACACACTTTCAGTTTTTAATGGATGGACTGTTTGAAAGAAGCTATTCTATGTTAATGATGATGGTAAGGAGAATATTTGGTAGGAGATCGTAATAAAGAAGAATAAGGAAGATGATGGCAGTTGTGTTTTGGTTAAGAATGAGGTGAAGAGAATGAGGATTAATGAAAAGAAGACGGTGCAGAAAGAGATGAAAAACAAAGGAGAGGACGGAAAACAAGTATTTAAGAAGACAAAAAGTATTTTTCATGAAGACAAAAAAGACGCTGATGAAGATACAAATGATAAATCAGTCGAAGAAGATGGCGATGGCGATGATGACTGATGACAATGAAGATTTAGAGGACGAACACGGGGATGAGAAAGGCAAAAACAAGAGCGAAGGGGAAACAGTTTGATGTAGAAAATAATGAAGAAATGGTGAAGGTAAGAGTAAATCAAAAGTGGGAAAATGAGATGAAGAACAAAGTTGACATCATTAGTGACGGTGATGAAGGAAGCGTAAGAACGTGATCTGATCTTGAAGATGAAAAAGGCGTACTGATTGACAAAGAGCGATGGCTGTGATAGTGAGGATGATTATGATGAAGATTGAAATCGTTAGGTTTAAGAAAAAGATAATATCGATGATGAGCAGATGATAAAGTATGCGTAAAGCAAGTTAGCGATAGTAACGAGGAAGAACGTAAGAACTAAAATGAATTTTTGTTTATGCAGAATATGGCAAACAAACTTACTCTTGTTTTTCAGGTAGGTCAGTAAGTGTTTATAATAAACAGCAACAACATTACAGTAAAGGTGCGGCAAAGACGGTAAAAAAAATGCCCGTGAAGGCAGTGATATCCAGTGTGCTCAAAGTAGCGTGGCTGTCTCATTCAGGGGATTTACATGAGTACAGTCGGCATCGGTTTTTACCTGAACAGCCGTTACACCTATCACAGCAGTGGGCCCAAGATGGCGCAGCGGTAGTCCAACACTACACATATGCTGCACCGTTGTTCAGTACTGCCTGCGCACACGACAGCCAATGCTCAAACAATACGAGCGAGCTGGGGTGTCAGTGCCATCTTTAACCGTCACCAGTTCATTGGTAAAGCTGGAGGGAGGTGCAGGAGGCTCTGATCTCTGGATGATTGTTCCTTTGCGGTTTTGCAGCAGTGCGCGAACCTCATTACCGACATGTTTTTGACTAACATTTGTGACAGCGGTGCTGTAAAGGAGCCTAGCGGGTTACGGTAAGTTGCGGTCAGCCAAGGCTCGTATCATGCGACTTTTGCTTGTAGTTGTGTAACACATTCATGTCCGTTCGTTGCAAAGATTACTGTTTATAAGGTACGACGCTGGTTTCTTAAAAATGTTGAAGCAAACGTAGCGAAGCGAAACTATGGAGCTTTGGTATAACTGTGTGCCAAAGCAAACAGATGTCGGTAGGTTTAAAATGGATAAAACGTACGTGATGCGCAAGGTTTCAAAAAGCGCAGTTTCCACTGTGCAAATTTTGCAGTATGAAGTAACTGGCACATGCTCCAACGCTACCAACATTTATAAGTTCTGCGCACGAAGAAATAAGGTAAATGTTTTGTCATTGCCGTTACTCAAAAACTTGAACCTTCAGCAAATAGGAGCAGTTTTGTTTCTGTGAAAATCAGCTGGTCTCGCGAGATATGAGCGATGTTCCCTGTTTTCATTCACGTTTTCATTTGCACACCGATGCCCTTCACCTCCAAACGTTTGGTTGTTTTACTTTGTTACTGTTTGCTGTTAGTCAGCTGTGTCTAGGTGTACGCGATAATTCTTACGACCAACACGTCGTCGAGTCGACGTCCAGCATGTCGGCTGGGCGCAGTAGCGATAGTTCGCCTAAAAAGCCGTCGAGCACCGAACGCGATGCTCATGTTTCCGTTTCTTACCGTCCGCTATCACCACCGTCCTGCTTCATGTGCCATTCCTCACGGAACGTGTCGAGTACTGATGACAGCGGCGACAAGAAGTCGAGGTCCGTTCCGGCCCCCCTGGCCACACCGGAGAACGTTGAAATCAATTCCGATTCTTTGGTTTCAAAGGTAGGTGCTCCTTTTAGCGTTACCCTTGTGCAGCATCCCATATCAGCAGTGATGTTTTCAGAGCACGTTGCAAAATCTGGGTTCATTCGAACAGCTGACCGCTGACCGGAGAACTTGCTTCGATCCTGCCGCTGGCCCTTTCTCAGGTACGCGCATGGCCTTGCCACTTTATGCACAAAATGCGTGATTTTCTTACGCTGCCCCAATGCAGATACTATGTCCGATGAGCGCGATTTGCGGCTGCAGCGTTCCTGACCCGCCTGATCAACCTCAGGTGTTATCCGTAAATGAAAGCTAATGAAACAAATTTAATTAAACATGAGAAACAGTTATAGTGTATTGATAAACTAGCACTCTGAGACTGTACTTCTCACAGAGAAAGTGTTTGATGCATCGAAACACTTTGAGTTTCAGCGGTGTGCAGAAAAAGGAGTCGAACCAGCATGTATCGACTTATTAAACGTATTAAATACCAGCTGCAAGACTAATATCAACTTCTTTTATCGACCCAATAGAGATCTAGTGAGGAGGGAAATAATGTGCGGCGTCACGAGAGCCGCTGTAGAATTTTCAGTCACTGAATTATTAATGAAATATGAAACACCATCCAGGAATAAATAATGGCTTACTCGCAGACACCTGATATTCAGGTGGCAAGTTACCTTCTTCGGAACGATGAGAGGTGCGCGGTTGCGGAGGTACTGATTTTTGCATGAGCTGTAAATACGCTCAGATATCTTGTAGGTTTAGATTTTCTGCAGAAAATACTGCACTGTGTCAGCAATCAAGCGACGTCAGACCTTTCGGTGCCATGCTTAAAGGTTACTCACATCTCTTGCACATTGTCTCACTACCCATTTACCCGTCCCTTTTGAGGTTCGTAGCATGTTTCTAAGAAATGGTCGATCAGCCGAATGTTTTTGCTATTCGTACTGTTTCAGACCACGACGTGATGGAGAAAACTGCCTCTTGGTTGTGTAAGACCCCGGGAGCGATTGTAGGCGAACCGTTGGACGAGTTCGGCGTTAGTCAACTGCCGTCCTTGCAGCAGAAGCGGCACAAGCGAGGCAAGATGGGACCATGCGTGGCCGAAAGGGTGCGCAAGTTGGACGCGGAACTCGACCTGAGTGTGATGGAGCCGAGTACATCGATGGCCGCCACCGCTACCACCGACTTCGATCACCCGGTCATCCGTAAGCAACGCGGTTCTTTTGGAACCGTCGCTATGCCGTTCCGAAGTAAGTTAAGGAAATGAAATTCAGCACCAATTGTTTTTTTATTCATCACTTCGCCCTGCCTCACGATGCAGTAAACTGTTTTACTCTAGTTCTGAGTAGTTCCTTGCCTGTGTCCGCGGTTCTTTGTTTATTGTGAGCACTGCAACTGCGTCATCTCTGATTTTTATGTCTCAACGTGGTGTTATTGTTTATTTTTGTTTATTGTTTTGTTTCAGTGAATGTTGTGTTTCTTTTGTTTATTTGTGTTCTTTTCTCTAAACTGGCCGCTTACAGTGCCGCCTCATGGAAAGTCGTCTTTGTCGTCGAAGGCGCAATTCCGCTCGAACAGCGATGAGTGTCTGTCGTCGTCGCTGTCGTCATTGGACGGTGACCTCGTCTGCGCGAATTATGCTACTGGTCGCCGCCACGGTGCTAGTAATTTAGCCTCAGAAGCTCGTCACTCTTCGGCCCTTAAGGACGGAGACGGTGGCAGCTATGGTGGCAACGGGGGCTTCGTGCGACGGGTCGCTTCCTCGTTTCGGCTGTGCCGCAAGAAAGCCGTCATCGTCGAAAGCAAGTCCGTCCCCCATTCGCCGGTCACCGGCGTCCGCGCTGATCGCGTTTTCGTATTGCCCCCGTTCGAGGGCATCGTTGACGATGACCACCTTACCAGCAGTGAGTGTACTTTTTCTCTG